TAATGGAGCAATGGGTGACAGCCCTGGGTTGATTCTCGAGCTGGATTGGCACTAGAAGGGATGGGGCTGTCCCTGGGTTTCACAAATATTTGCTGGCATTTCAGAAAATTCTGAGACTCGGGAATCCTGGCTTCCCTTCCAGGCTCTGGGCAAGTGTCTTTGTAGGGGCACAGACTCTTCTGCCCATTTTTAGGCAGAACGCTTATAATTTGGTCATATTTGGCTGGATTTTCATGGCAACGTCTCTCACACAAAAGCCGCTCCTATTCTAATGTTCAAGTCCTTACTTCAAAGCATGGAACTACTACAGCTTTTCAAAGAAAGACTTCTCAGAATTTAAGATGAGTAAAACAATGTATTTTTCCCAGCAGAAGAGTTTCAGCTGAAATTTTCAAAACAAATAAATGTATAAATCACAATTTAGCCTGAGACAGACGCCCAGCATGGACAGTTTCAGCCAGAATGTTTAAAGTTTGGCAAAGCTGTAGGAAACTGAAAATCGTCTCATAATGTGAAGTGTGTGGCATGCTTCATACTAGGCGATAGTATCTACTGTAAGTAATCCAAGCTGTACACATAATTCATAGACATAGATGTTAGGGAAGGAAAAAAAAAAGCTTTAATAGATCAATTAGTGTTACATTCCAGCCCGAACTGAACTATTGAGCAAGGAACACAACAGCTAACGTCTAGTCCAGTAAAATGTTGCCCACTAATGTTGCCCAAAACACAAGTGAATCATCTGGATAAAATACCATTAAATACATTAGCTGCTATTGATATGTTTAGCTGTATCTAGCTGAATTTCTTTCAGATGGTCTCTTCGGTGACTTTCCCCACTCTTGTTTTCTTGCATTTAGTACTTATGCATTGACTTGATGTGCTCGATGTCTATTCCCTATCAGACATATGCAGTAAGCTACCTTTTTTTTGGTAATAACCCTAAAACATAAAATGACTAAGCAAATTCCAGCAAATTGCAATATTTGTAAGTTATGGAATTATCCTGTAACCCTTTGAAGTTGATGTCAGCTTGCTGTATGCACAAGGAGTTAACCTAGTCACAGTACATTATGGCCTCTAATAACTGGAAGTGATTGGCCAAAGTGCTGTAAACCTGGCAGAAATTTGTTGCCTTATTTTCTATAAACCACAAGCACAGTTTATTAATTGAGAAATGAACATTAACTGGCATTAGCTGGCATCTGTAAGCTGAAAAAGAGAAACGACCATGGTCGGCATTCTGCTGTAACCGGTGGCTCTGCAAAGGGGCAACAGGTAAAATTGGTTTTCAAGCGCAAATGCAAAACCAGGCTGCTGTTGGCACACTGCCAGGTCGAGGGTTTTTAATGAGGCTTCTGCATCAAAATAAGTGAAACCACATGGAATTTTAATTGTTCTTATTCTAAATGTGAAACACACTGGAGCAGTATTCTTCAGTCTAGTATGCTAGCATATATATTGGCATATTAGCATTACCACATTTCTATTCCAAATGCATCTCTCTCAGAAAACTTGAGTACCAGGTTGTGTTAGGGAGGAATCTGCCTAGTAGGTTTAAAAGCAGTTTACCCTGTGCTCCTTCAGATGTAAACGTTTCAGTTGAAAAGGGTCCGTTTTTCTTTTGTATTGTCAGCCACCGTAAACCGATCAGATTGTATGGAAAAAGAAGTTCACTTGCTGCTTGTTTCCATGTTTTTTCTTTCTGGTGGCATGGAAGAAAGGTTCTTTTCTTTAAAGCAGCACGCTTGTCGCAATTCTGCAGCCACGATGCAGGGTGGAGGAGCTGCGCTTCACTAGTTTAATATAAGCGATCACGAGGGTGGGAAGTCACAGATGCAAACTGTGTACTTGCTCTGATGGCGGAAAAATTAGCGTAAATCTTTAATCCTGCTGGGGGGAGGAGTAAATAAATTATTTACTTGCACTTGCATGTTACTGTATTGCCCATCGACACTGCCAACTGTGTGCAAGTACATATACAAAGATGGGCTGCATACCCAGAAGAGCTGTTTATGCTCCCAGTATACATGTATAAATGAATATGCATCTGGTGTTTGCAGGTTAGCACCTAAGTCAACCTTAACACAAGAGAAGGAGGTAGCATAGAAAGAGAGAGGAGGAGGATGAAATAGCATCAGTGAGATTACATGGCAACGAGGAAGGCAAGAATCTGAGTCTGTGAGGTTTTGAAAGTTTCTAGACGCGTTCAGGAAAGTGTTTTCAGCATAGGAATGAGGCATGATAGAAAACCTGCTCTATCAACGTCTCAGAAAATACATTTGGACAATGACAATGCAGGAGGCTGAGGAAGGAACAAATAGCAACCTACTGCAGAAAAATTACAAAGGTAGCAAAAGGTGTTTGGGCGTATGGCGAGGTGAGCATGCAGGAGTGGTGCAGACCTGGCCATGAGTGAGATAAGAAAGGGTTAGGGTTATTTGGCCTTTGGGTAAATAGGATTGTACTTTACAAGCAACAATAAAAACAAACAAGTGTGGATTTACTAGGCTGTGCAAGGGGGTCTGTAGCCCCACATTAGAACTGCCTAGTGAGCTGTGCACATGCCTGGTCTGCAACACGGGCACGATCTCTTGGCAACGCTCATGCGGATAATATTTGGATTGAACCTGGGAAAAAAGATTGCCTCGCACAAGTAAAACTGTGTTGGGAGTATTGGATGAGGAAAAAAGTATCGGTTACAAAGAAGCAAATACCAATGTTCTACACCCTTAACACTCATACTAATTCTGCCTTTGATTATAAAAGTCTTGTTTCGCTTCTGTCAGGGTAAACTAAGAGCAACTCTGTTCATGTAGGGAGAGTTGCAGTAACAATAAAAAAAAATAAAAGAGCGTAAGCAGTAGCAGATTGAAACTCTTTTGAGCAGCTAGGGAAATTATGCTATAACCTTATATTTCCAGATACATATCAGACCTGTTCACAATATAAAGGATAGTGTTCCAAAATTACAGCTTTGAATCTGGGTGGTAAGGCCTCGGGCTATTGTTTGCAGTTGGGAACGAAAGAAGTTGCATCAAGTAGGAGAGTGTTTGCTATAAAGGTACAAGTTATATTACATTCCAGAGTGTTATGGTTTGAGGGCTTGATAATGGAGACAGACCCATTCACCCGTAGGTCACTGATTCGGTTCCAGATAAAGGTAATAGTAATCCCATTGTCATCGTCGTTAGAAATGGGCTTTTACTGCGATTTTAAACTCAGTCCGTGGAACACTTCGTGCAAAGCTGGATTGCAAGGCCCGGATCTCCAGCTGTATCAGTTTGACTCTTGGCTGGATGAGGCCCAGATTCTCCAACCTAAACCCGAGACGCATCTGGACTCTGCTGCCCCCTCCGCCTCGTCACTTTTAGATACCGTCTGACGTTATATTGACGGCGTATGTTAAATGAGCTGGTAGCCTCAGTGAAAATAGTGGTCTAAACCACAAAACGTGTCATGGTAGGGCGCCAAGGACGGAGTAGCTGGAGAGCCCTTCCTTCCACGCAGCACTGTCCACAGGGCAGACCTGAAGTGTTCTCCAAGGACAAAGTGTTGCTGTGTCTTATATTGCAGATACACTGAGTGTTTCACTGTTCAGCATCAGCAGTTTGGCATCTAGAAGACGCATATATTCCTTTTAAGTGAATCAGATTTGGTATTATTTGGCAAATTAATGAGCGAACCCTTGGATCTAAAGGATTGGAAAGCTATGGGAGTGTCACCTGGGAAGCGCAGGAATTTGATTTCATGATTTTTTTTTTTCTCTTTATTTATACCCTGCTCTTTCCAGCTACATGTAAATATATATCTCCTGCTTTTTGGCTGCAGTACGCCTCCATTCTGCACTGGACTTTTTCATTACACTTCTTCTCTCTACCTCCCCTTGTCCCTTTTCCCGCACCCTTTCTGTTTTCCCCTTTCCTGCCTCTCAGCGCAAGCTTTCGCCATCTTTTTTTTTCTGCTTCTATCTCCTCAGCAGATCACCAAGCTACTACCATTCGCTTTCCAGTCCTGCTCCTAAACTTAGCATGTTTGATGTGGGATTAGAAATTAGGCAAAATGAGTTTGCCGGTCCCTGTTTTGCGTTAGAATCAAATTCGCAGTGTTACCATCCAGACGCTTACAGTAGCCGTAAACTGTGTGGTCTTTTTTCAACCAGACTGAACAGACTGTATAGGAAAACAACTTCTTGCAATAACAGAACGAATGTTGGACTCGTAATTTTCTGCATGCTGCACTGAAAACTAAAATTTGCATCTTTCTTACCAGCTCAGTGGCCTGTCCCAGTTCGAACCTCTTTGGATGCAACAAATAGTATTTTTCGCAGATAGGATCTGCTGAGCAGATCGTCACCTAAATGAATTGAGCTAACACGGGAAGTGGGGCTTAGTCACCCTTGGTGTAACTCCACTGATGTCAGTGGTGCAACTACCTCGGTGTTGCCAACTCTTGTGCTTTTGTTGCTAGTTGCACGATGATTTCTGTTTTTCTTGAAACCCCGACTCTCGAAGGCATGCACTTAGGTGAGAACCTCAGCTTTCACGCGAAACCAAACCTAAGTTTCTGGAGAGGCTCTAGCAAAAGGCCTGCAACGCGTTGACGCAAGCGCACCCTCAAAGCTCACAGACCAGAACGCAAGCCGAATTTAAATCGACATTTATGTTTGTGGCTTTTTTTCAATCTCTTGGTTTTTTGAGATAATCCCGTGTTTTTTTGCGGGCCTGACTTGTGGCTTTTGAACACTTCGGGTTGGCAACGCTGCTCCCTCCGTGGGCATCAGTGCAGTTAGACCAGGGACGCATTCGGCCCAGCGCTTGTAGACGACAGGTATATGACTCTATTCCTTGCAATGTATTATTTGCTATGATCTGCTGTTCTTTTGGGGGCCGAAAGAAGTGGGTTTTCTTTAAAAAGAAAAAGAAAAGACTATCGGCGCTTGCTAAAAAAAACAGTATTTACAGAATTGTTTTCCCCCGTCTTTTGTTATAATTTTTTAGGTGCTTCAGAGCTGGGCCCATTTTCAGATCCCAGGCAGTTCACAAGCATTTCATCCCTCACTGAGAGCCGCTTCTCCAACCCACGAATGCACTATCCAGCTACCTTTACCTATACACCGCCAGTCACCTCAGGCATGTCACTGGGTATGTCCGCAACCACTCACTACCACACCTACCTACCACCACCCTACCCCGGCTCTTCCCAAAACCAAAGTGGACCTTTCCAGACCAGCAGCACTCCATATCTCTACTATGGCACTTCGTCAGGATCATACCAGTTCCCCATGGTGCCGGGAGGGGACCGCTCCCCTTCCAGGATGCTTCCTCCGTGCACCACCGCGGCCAACGGCAGCACGCTCTTAAACCCTAACTTGCCCAACCAGAGTGACGGTGTGGAGGCGGATGGCAGCCACAGCAGCTCCCCAACCGTCTTGAATTCTAGTGGCAGAATGGATGAGTCCGTTTGGAGGCCGTACTGAGATTTCTTCTGCCTGGCCCGACCTCTGCGAGCCAAAAACAAACGGTCGACTAACTACGAAGTGCCTGGTTATTTTGGGGTTTTCTTTTTTTTTTGATTTTTCTTTTGTTTTTGTTTTTAAATAGATTTTACCGATATGTGCAACTGTGTAGATGGGATGATAATGGCCATAAATAACATGAGAGTAACCAACACACCACCACAACCCATGTTTCAGATTATGTGGATCAAAGCACATATATATTTTTTTTTTCTTGGAACCATTTTACCTTGTTTTATATTTAAAGTGTACTTTTTACAAACAAAAAAATACCCCACCCCACCCCGCCCCCCCCCTTTTTTTGTCCAGAGCGTTGTGATAAATAGTGAGTTCTTTTGCCAGTGAGGAGATAATGGACTCCCCAGCTATCAGGAGAAACATGGTGATGCAAGGCAAAGGCTGTGTTCCATTTTTTTTGAAAAAAACAAAAAACCATGAACTCCAGATACAGTTGCAATCATACAACGTATGGGACCCTGTTCAAATGCGTAGTGCAATTCAGCTGGCTTGTATTGGTGCACATAAAAAGGCAAGCAAAGATCGAGTTGCTTTCACTTTGCCGTGATACGTTCAGATGAAAATAGCTGTCCCAAAATCCTGCCCCGAGCCTTGCTGCAGATAAAAGTTGGAACTTCTCTGTGTTCATTGCTTTTCTTTTTTTTTCTTTTTCTTTTTGGTTTTGTTTTGTTTTGGGGTACTTAAAGAGAACAAGTCTTCAAATTAGAATAGACGACCCTGGGGTTTCCTTTTTGCTTTTGCATCCATTAATTTTGCCTTCGTCCCGTTAACTAAAAACCAAAAATAAAAACCAAATCCTTTTAAAATAAAAGCAAAACGTTATTACTTATGCAAATTATGAAAATGGCAATATATATTACTAGAGCCAAAATGGTATACATAGTATTTGTGTTCCTATGCTCTTTTTTATTTTTTTTTTTTAAATTATAAATGTGTAAAATTTGAGGTTGTTTGCTAACGTGAATCATCATATAACTTTAAAAGAATATTTATAATTATTTAATGACATTTGGACCCTTTAAACGTTTCTTAATGTAATGATATATTGACTTCGGTCTCTAAAAGTTTTTTTTTTTTTTAATTATTACATTTCTGCAGTGGTGTAAACCTCAGATCTTTACCCAACTCCGAAAAGCAGTTCCAATGTCAACCAGTTTACAATGTGATTTAAAAACAAAAAACCCAACCCAAGTGCATCCACCTCAAATGATTTTGGATGTAGGATCTTTTTATGTAACTTATGAAGGAAATATGTGTTAAAAAGATTTTATTAGCTGTCTGGTTGCCTTCAACACAGTCTTGCCTTCTGTTCAGTAGTTGCGGAGACACTGGAGAAATGGTAGGAAGGATGAAATGTTTTCCACCTTCGCCTGATTTCTTGCTCTCCCAGGATTTTTCTCAGAACGCTGAAATCTGGCAATATTCATGTTTAAAACGTTGTGCTTTGACAACATGATTTGACAGTTGAGAGTTTAAAAAAAAAAAAAACAAAGCAGTTTCCAACCATGCTTTAAAAATAATGCTATGTCAGGTTACTCAGAAATGGGAGAAAGGCAGAAAAGTCTCAGCCCCGTCCTGCCCCCGTTGAAATTTCAGCCCGCTCTTTGAGACAAAAACGGTTCAAAATTCAAGACGGGAGCTCTCTCGTCAGTCCATAGCATTAAATGCTAGAGCAATCAATCAAAGATGTGTTTACTTTGAAGTAGCCACGACTGGGGCCACGGTCAGGAGAGCCGCAGCGGCCGCCCGCCTAACGCCGAGGACCGCGGCCACCCGCAAGGGACCCGCCGGGCTCCCGGCCACCGGAGATTGCAGCCGGCATGGCCATACCCAGTGACGATCTCCTTGGCCAATACCGACGTTCTCGCTCTTAGTTAGTAGCTAAGCTGTTAAACGAGAGCGAGCTGACGTTAGCATGGCACATTCCTCCAATTTGTGTGATTACGTGCGCTTAAAAAAAGAAAAAAAAAAAAGAAGAAGAAAAAAAGTCTTTGCCTTCTAAAGGTTGTATACCAAGTATGCTTAAAGTATAAGTAAGACACTTTTTCTAATACTTAGTTTTCCTTCAAAGATGGAAGCTGTAATTGATTCTATTTATTGTTGGTTTGTGGTAGCTTGAAGCATACCACTGTCCATTTATTTGTAACTGTAAAATACGTTCGTTAGTCTCAGCAGCACTTAAAAAGCCAGTGTCTGGTTACACATTTCAGTTTTGTTTTTTTGTTTAGTAAGCAAGAGAAAAAGATGTACTGCCAGTGCAAGCTGTTTCCTATTTAATAAAAGGTACTATATTTGTACATTATTTGTTATTGCTGAGAAGGGCTTTTTAAGGTTTACTGTATGCATATTAAGTAATTTTTAGGGTGCTTTTGTGTTGAAATGTTGTTAGAGTGGCTGCAGGCAGCAGCCCTGACTTTTTTTTTTTTTTTTTTAAGACTTTGTTGTAAAATTCAAGCACTTGGTTTTTGTTTCTGGATAAATCCAGCCTAGACCAGACTTTTGTTTTGTTCAGCACCGACAGAGCTCTTGTTTGCGTCCCCGCAATTTTTTGAACTGGACCGTCAGGGACAGACGTTCACAAAGTTTTGTCCGCCCGATCGGGTGACGCAGGCCTGATCCGTGCGCTCGGCTTCCACGTCCGCGCGGGCGGGCGGTGAACTCTGCTTGCTTGAGCAGGCAGATGCCAAGGAAAGGATTTTCCAAGTGCCTGCGGATGGAGGAGCACCCGCCCGTTGACCTTGAGTAGACCCTCCGTGCTCCTAAAGCCTCTCGGTGCCTTTGGAAAATCTCTCCCTGTGTATGAGACCGGTAACGGAGGGAGCTGTACGGGCTGACGCAGCAATGCACATCCAGGCTTTTTGAAAACGCTTCCAAGTTCACTTGGAAACGCTCTCGATTCAGGATTTCAGGAAAAAAAAGAAAAAAAAAAGAAGAAAAAAAAAATGCGTTACGTAGTTAATCTTCCAAGATTGTTTGACATTTTGTGAGGTGCTTAGCACCTCCAGAAATGAGTTTTCTCAAAGGTACACCAGCCCTTCCCTTCGGTGAGTGGCAATCTTTGGCACTGTTCAGAGATTTAAAGATTAAAAAAATTGCCTTTGCTACTTTCCAGCTCTCTTAGCCTACCAAAGATTTACTTCCAGCAGAACAGGCATGATGTCCCTTTTGCAGAGCAGAGGATTAATCCTACTGTCCTTCCACCCAAGGGTGACCTGATGCATATCGGGTTGGGGCCAGGACGGATGAGGAAAGCAAGCTAGCGAACCCGCGGTGTCTTTAGGGTGGCACTGGTAGATTCTTTAAAAAAAAACGGCTGCTGCGTATTTCGTAGCATTGAACTTCTCATCAGCAGTCCCCGAGCAAGGATTTACCGGTCTCAACAGGCGCCATCCTGAGTGGCGAAAATTTTGCACTTTCACACTTATCAAATCAAGCTCCACCTCGGCTGTGGGAGCCCACCGGTGAGTCCGGGTGATGCGCGACGCCGGGCTTCACGCAGACAGCAAGCCATGAACGAAAGCAATAATTCAGACCTGTACCAGCCATGAGTACAAGATCAAAGCAGCCCAATTCTCTGAACCCCTAACTTTCTTATTGTTTTTAAATATAATGCATTTCATTTTAACATTTTTCTGAGAACTTTTTAGATGTTTGTTTACTTCCATGTTTACAGATAACTCTTTGCTTTTTTTTTTAATGCAGTACTTTTAAGTATATCAGCCAAATCCATACTTTTACAGTAACTTTTGTGTTAGGTAATACGAGTGACATTCCATTTTTTTGTTGTTGTTGTTAAATATGCTTTACCAGTCTTGAATTTCTGCTGGAACAAAATATTTGTAGCATTTTGTGTAAATACAAGCTTTAATTTTTTTATTTTTTCAAATGCTGTCACCCGAAATTTGCTTTTCATGCACATATTGTACAAACACATTCTGCTTTGTGCCACAGACGATGATTGTGGATCAGTTTACTTCAACTTCAAAGGGACTATTTGTATTGTATGTTGCAACTGTAAATTGAATTGTTTGGCATTTTCTCATGATTGTAATATTAATTTGAAGTTTGAATTTCATTTTCAATAAAACGGCTTTTTTGTTAATGTGCTTCTATGCTTCTTTTTCTTCGGCTGTCTCCCCGTAGCCATGCACCTCATATTCGTGAGCAGTCAGTGACTTGGTAAAGCAAATATGCAGTGGGACGTGGTACTGGTCCTTCAGTGGAGGCCCCATCAAGTTCTGCAGTGCTTAAGTTTCCAACTAAATCTACAAAGCAAGTTTCCAGGCCTACTGAGGGTAAAGGAAACCTTCTAAATCTGATCTCAAATGTTACGTCTTTTCCCCAGTCTGCAACTATTGAAAATATTTCTTCGAGTGTGAACTGCTCCGCTCATCTTGATCTATTGTTAATTCTGAAACCTAACAACTGCCATAACAGAAGCATTCTGTGGGGACGGCACTGTGAGCAGAACTGGAGGTGTAGGAAGGGCTGGAGGCTGGAAGGGCTTTCCAAAGCGGGAGGAGGGGGAGGGATTTTGATTTCTGGCGCTTCTGCAGAATCGAGGTTGCACTATTCCCACCTCTGCCTGGTCACACCTGAGGAATGTGGTTACAGATAATCTCATGATTTGCATGGCCTGAAGCAAAAACAGTTGCCAAGTAGTGAAAGATCTATGGAGAGGGAGGAGCCTGGGGAGGAGGCAATTTTTCCTCCAGCCTTGTTTCAGGGGTAGGAGGAGATGGAGCTAATGGCGGTGACATTAAGTTCACCCAGGGCTACCTTCAGGAGAAGAGGAGAGGACAAGAGTTGTTTGTAGGCTTGCGCTTGGTTTCATAGTAAGTTCTAATCCTTTTTAGATATTTCTCGAGCCTGCAAAGGAGAAATAGTAGCACAGAGAAAAAAAGAGGTTCTGTTGGTTTCAAGAAACCTTTAGCTCTGAAGTTTAATGAGGAAACTTTAAATGTCAATAATTATGTAAGTGCGATTCATTTTAACGTGGACCTACACACTTGGTGCGTAGTGGCTGAAGACTGAGATAATGTTTTGGGGTTTTTGAGGGTACTTTCATTCCAATCTGTAATCGGGGTCCTGACTTTAGGGACATTTTATCCAAGGATGAAGAACCAAGAATCAAGCAAGATAATCAACGCTCTGGGGTGTATTGCTATATTAATAGCTTTAGGGAGGTCTTTTGTGATAAACATGAGTGCTGAGACTTTCTGCTGCCCTCTGGTACACT